GCATTTGGTGAAGGGAGCTGAATGTATCCAGGATTTTTTCCGCATTGAGACATGCTCAAGTGTTAATAAGTTTAGTTTTACTGGAGTTAAAGTGTTTTTATTTAGCATGCGAAAAAGTTCCGTTGTGTCCTACATTTAAACATATCTGAGGACCTCATAGTGAAAATAAAAGGATATTCGCCGGTTTGGATACATGCGGTGGTCGTCCTAGAGTCATGCATTGATACGTTACTGTCTTTTGAATATATATATATATATATATATATATATATATATATATATATATATATATATATATATATATATATGTATGTATGTATGTATGTATGTATGTATGTGTGTGTGTCTGTGTGTCTGTGTGTGTGAATGCATCTGGGTGTGTATGTGTAATTTTTAAGTGTGTGTGTTCATGTGTGTGTGTGTGTGTGTGTGTAATTTTTAAGTCTACTTGCGATTCTGAAGCGATAAGAGACGCGTGAGAAAAGTCGAATCGAGCGGAGGTTTGGGGTCACGCTTGCACTTCTTATGTTAATTTATAGTACCGATAAGGTGATTTCGTGTTGTCAGAGATTTCATCGAATTTTATTGATAAAATATCAGACTCATATGATGCAATTCCCATAAACTGCAAAGAAAATACTTTGCAAAACTGATATATTTTGGCGTTTGAACCTGAAAAATAAACACAATTACATCCCATACATGATCTATCAGGCAGTAAACATTTAAAACAACAAGTATAATATAGCGCGGAGCTCGTTTTTAAGAAAGCAAACATTTAATGTCCTCATTATCAAAACTCATCTCAGTGGGATCTCTACATTTGCCTCCAGTACTACTTATGAACTGACAGAGAAGAGGAAGTGGGTTTAGCTTCAAAAATACTGTTGCGTAGATATCACCCATAGAAAGCTTTCTTCAAAACCAACATGTTGAAATTCCGGCAAATATTTTCAGCCAATCATGTGCTGAAATAATATACATAAGATTCAACCACACCTAGCCTTGTTCAGGGATTTGGAAATAATTAGTTTTGCGCAACCTAAACATCAAATTTTACTTTCATAATAAATATTCATGGCCGTATGAATATTTTCTGGAAACCTCTGAAAGAAAGCGTAGTAATTATGCTCTAACAACTATCGTTTAAAAGATATAGATGGATTTGTTTCAATTTGCAAGACACATGTAATGATAAATTATCAAGATTTCCACGAAATAATTTATATCATCTCAAAGTGCTTCATATATTCAACAATAAATAGCTGGCTTCCTGTGTGGATAAGTAATGAGTGAAACAAGCTAAGCAAATTACGTCACATACTTCAATAGGATCAAAACAGAGATAGTTGTATGGTAACATAGAAAAATTAAATCTAATTTTTTTTTTGCCCTTTTTAAGAAATTTCTCATCGAATATTAGCACTTCAATCTTCTTCTAGAGTGGCATGGCTGACAAATGTTTATATTAGATCTGTGCGTGCACAATGAATATCATTGTAAAGGGAAGCAAATCATAAAACTCACTTATTTAAACTTTAGTTTTCACCAACTGTGAGAAACTAGGAGTTCCCTTTTGGCGTTACAGAATATTAGGGCGTCCACTTATTATGTGGCGCTTTGGTTTGGTTATCGTTTATCTAGGAGATGATCGACCAAGGTGTTATTACCCGGATTGAGTATATAATACAATAAGGTATGAAATTAATAAAATGAATAACATAGATCTAAGAAGTGGTATATAATTAAACAACGGTGTAGTAAGGTAGAACAATTTCATCCATTACATAAAAACGAAATGAAATTCAACATGACATGATGAAATCAACATGACTGAATGGTACACTTTCTATTCGAAATTTTCAATTTATAAGACATGCAATTAACTGTTATATCATACCGATCAGATAAATTTCATCAAAGAATCGAGTGAATGATTGAACTCATTTTGCTCAGCATGCCTGTCTAATCTGGTTGTTTGTGGTTGTTTCAAAGTCAGCGCTTGTGGCAGGTCAAAGTCGCAGTATTCCATTTCCTTTTATGTCTATCTCGTCATATTCTTTCGGCTCTTCAACCATAAGCTGGTTGTCTGCTGTCATTTCCCACTGGATGGTACTCACATTTTTTCCATAATAAAATAGATGCATAAATATGCAACTTAAATATTTGTCAGGCTTTTTTCTTCTGGTGGCGAACAATAATCCCCATTCTTATTAGTCTTATTCTTATTTCATAGTAAATCAACAGAACTATGGCTAATATAGGTCCGTAAGCAATCTGACGCTGATACACAACCTTATTACCATGAAATTATTGTCCATACCTAGCCATAGCCGCATTCCTAAATGGAGGACATAAACCTACTACTCCAACGAGTCTACAAATCACCAACCTGAATATGTGTAGGTATGCTAAGTAGCAATTCACTATCATAGCATTTCCAGACATAATAAAATCAATTCATAACCTACATGATTCATATCATTTAAGACGATGAATTCGCTCCATTGCACAATTCGCATCTTACGTAATGCAAAAAATTCCTATGATATGTACTTTCTATTCCATACAAACGAGTAAATTCGAACAAATTCATATCAACGAAATATTTTATGATATTCTTAGAATACAGGAGTCAAATGGTATCCTAGACAAATGGATGCAAACAATTAACTTCCGAACGCAAGGAAAATTGCATGAATTTAAAAAGAATAAATGCAGTAAATAATTTCAAGCTTATATCAATAAACATTTCTGTGCAATTGAGATAAACCTTGTGCCCTCTGAGACTAGCTCTGTTTCTATGAAGCCATGAATTTCTCATGTTCCTCAACTTATAACAGGAGAACCAATTCTTCTCACCCAAGGTCAATACTTATCCTTCCACAGAGAAACCTGGACTGTCTAATTTCGCCAGGGAAATTACTTAAAACAGTGAAGTTAGTCTGGGAAGCACAGACCCCTCATATAACTTAGCCATTCAGGACTAACTCAACCTCCATATATTTAACACATCCATCGGGTTAGAATAATTTTCTTCTCTCTATTCCACGTTTATTAAAAACTGTTTATGGAAAAACTCATTTTATGACACTTGTTTCCAAATGGTACAAACTGTCTCTACTTAGACATTTTCATTTATTTAACCCCAAGTTAATATTGCCTCTCCATCTGTCGGACCCTTATTCCAGCGGATTCTAATTAAAAATCATTCAGGATCTAAACCTAGACGGTTACACCATCTCAGTCTAGTGATTACTTGCAGATCTAGCACATACGTCAAAATTTATTGCAACGTATCACGCTGAACGTGACAAAATTGATTTCAGTTATCGTGCCATAATACTTTTCTTCAAAATTGTCTTATTACAATGAAATTTCATGCTTAATTTTTTTTTTCAATTACGAAAAGAATAAAACTTTTTGACCAAATGAGAGTTTGTTGTATTCTGCAACACACGACATGTTTTCTAAATATAAAAATGCAAATATTTTAGAAAATAAATGAAACTTTAGGTAAAATCAAATAAATTGTTACAAATTAATCATCTTCTTACTGAAACAGAATTTCAAACAGTGATCATCTAATTTTTCGGTGTGGGTGGGCACTTACTTTGCTGGTTCATTACTGGATTGACAAAAAAAAATGAAAAATATAATTAGAGAGAAGTTAGTCCCCAAACGGAGCGTTTTATTTCCCAACCTTTAATAATTGCCGTTATCTCGTTTTCTTTTTGAAAATCCATAATCGTTCATCGAACAGATATGAGCTCTGCTTTCTTTTACCATGGTTTTTAGGTCTATAGCTATGATTGCCGTTTTTGGTTTTTTAAATTTCTTTATTTCTCCAACAGGAATAATCAGTTTTCTGCTCGGTGACTTTCTTCAATCTAATTAAAATCTCCATTTCAAATAAATCACACCGCTTCCGTATAAAAAGATTCCCTTAATCATAATGTTTGAATAAAAGTTAACACGGAATTTTATTCAAGACGTGTGAACACTAATTGCCACTGTGTACTAAAACGGCTTATTCTTATTAGAACGCCACAAAATTAGTCTTCAGTCCTCAGGAGGGTTTGTAATTTTATCCCTAAATGATGAAAACTAGCGCCGCAATTCTGCTCATTTTGACCATTTGTCGGTTTCCTAAAACGTTCCCTGAGAAACATCATTTCGATGCTGATTAACAATTGGCTATGTTGTCAATTCCGGTCACACTCACGCAAATGTAATATATTTAGGTCTTCAATAGTCAAGCTGGAATTTAAAGCATGATTTTTGTCACGTTTCGTGTACAATTTATGTGGTAAGAAATGAACAATAATCTCTCTCTCTCTCTCTCTCTCTCTCTCTCTCTCTCTCTCTCTCTCTCTCTCTCTCTCTCTCTCTCTCTCTCTCTCTCTCTCTCTCTCTCTCTCTGAGTCATTAAAGATATATCGCAGTAGGCAGGGCTTAGTTAAGTATCAGATCGTACTTATGTTGTAAGCTGTGATATGATCTGTCAACACTTTGATACAAATTAATTAAATCTAATGTAACTCGTGTTCCCAAGTATTTCGCCCACTCTTTTTTTATCATTATTTTGTTATATAGCAATTTTTATATTCACCCAATATTCGTAACCATTAAAGTCTATTTAGAGGAGATAAACAGTATAATTCTCTTGACGGCATATTCTTTCTTTGAGAAAGGTATTCATTTTAACTCATAAAATATGATTTATTTTGTGTTTTTAAACTAAATTATCGACACAACTGCATTCCGTTTTAATCTTATTTCTTTTCATTTCATTGGTTGATGTAAAGACAAAATGATGAATGGCAACATCAAATAATTTGCATATATGAAAGTTTCCCTGTGTGTGTGAGAGAGAGTGCCTGTGTGTATGTTTGTGTATGTATGTGTGTGTGTGTGTGTGTGAGAGAGAGAGAGAGAGAGAGAGAGAGAGAGATTTTAATTTTTAACGTAGCTGCTTGTACCAATTTATAAATATTTGGTTTGACTCAGGCGGGGATCGAATCCGCGACCTCTAGCATCCGAGGCGGACGCTCTAACCACTAGGCCACTGAAGAGTGTATGAAAGTCATACCTAATGTGTTGCAAGTTTATCAGTATTAACACAAATGTTCGGTCGAAAAAATAAAGAACTGGAAAGCTAAAATGACTCAGATATATATTCCAGCCTATCCAGGTTTATACATTAAGAATAACAAGGGTCATATTCGCCATCAAATGTCTAAATGGAATAGAGTAAATGCTGGCTAATGGGCTTAAAGATGAAGGCTGAAACAATATGATAGTTGTCCGTATTAAGAGAAGTTGGACGATGCTGTTATTGTTCAATTCTATGTTTGAGAATCTTCATGAGAAAATATAAGAAATAAAAACAAAACCATAATCATTCCATCATTGTATTCAATTTAAAGGCAATTCCTAAACCACTTCCGGTAATAAGGTACAAAAAACCAAGCCTAGATTAATAATTCGTCAAAATATTAACTGTAATTGATGAAATCAACAAAACCATGTAAGGGCAAGTTTTAGGCATGCAATGTCGTTTTATTCGCGACAACTTGATTTTTTTTTTCAGGTATTGGGAAAAATTAATAATAATAATAAAACTTAATAATATGACTGCGTAAAAAAATCTCCCAGAAACAAATGTTAATAAATAAATAAATGACCTCGAATTTAAGATCATGCATCGCCTCTGACGAAATGATAATTAAACGGCACATTTGCATTCCAATGCCACACGAAAATTCAGACGTAATGTAGCGAAATTCAATCGGGTTACGGTCAAGGACTTGATCAGAACTGCCGTTCTAAAAGAATTCCTTTTGTAACAGGTC